TCATAATAATAATATTAAACACCCTGTCTGCTGACAGTCATCAACTCTTCTCTCTAGTTATCCTTGACCAGATGTACCCTGTAGAAACTCATAAGCATGACTAAGCATTTAACAGTCTAACTAGACATCCTCTCTCCACTAAACATTTCTAATACATAAAGTATCTATCCAATATCTATTTGACTAAAAATACCTAACATGAGCTAGTCCACAACAGACTTGAAGAGAGCCATACACGGGAGATGTCCAAAGAATATGACAGAGCTAAAGCAGTTCTGCCAGGAAGAATGGGCTAAAATTCCCCCTGAACGATGTGCAGGTCTGATCCACAGCTACAGGAAACACCTGGTTGAGGTTATTGCTGCCAAGGAGGGGTCAGCCAGTTATTAATTCCAGGGGTTCACTTACTTTTTCCGCTACCGTTTTGAATGTTGAATGAGTGTCTTCAAAGAAGACATGACACTATAAGAAATGGGGAGGTCGCGCTTTTGCCGTGCATGGCCCTAGATTGTGGAACTCCTTACCCTTAGATATACGCTCTATAATTGAGCCAGTAGCCTTCAAGTCAGCTCTAAAAACGTACCTTTTCAAACAAGCTTTTAATGTTTAGATTGTTTATTGGTCCTGTATGACCACTATCTTTGAGCCCCTTTTGTGATAGTAGGCCGGGTAGAAATTGTGCTATGTGAGTGCCTGTGTGTTTCTTATGCTTCTCTTTTAGCCTTTGATTGTTTTGAACTGTTATTTTTCGATGTAGCAATTTGTGCTCTTGAGCTGAAAAGTGCTTTACAAATAAATTTTATTATTATTATTATTATTAAATATCATTTTTAAAAGTTCACAGATCAAACCTTGTCCCATCCAGATGCAAATGTTTTGGGATTCTGGTTGACTGCACATGTCTTATGCATTTTGTTGAAATGTGTGAAGCAATCTTTAGATTATATCTGCCCATCTATCATAGCAGGGTATTTTTGAATTTGATCTGATGCCAATAAAACACTTCTCCGTTCAGTCATTCTACTGCTCACTTACAGATATTTATTGTTCCAAGGTGCACTTTGATTTAGTAAGGTCCACATGCAGCAATCAATATTGTGGATTGATCAATGATTTTAAACAAAATGGGGTTTTCCCCGCTGGGATTCAGCCCAACTGTTGATATAGGCCTGTGACACAAGGTAAACAAACACCATGACCCAGTGTGAGAGTGTGTGTGTGAGAGAGAGAGAGACAGAAGGAACACACATGGTCTTTGACCTTTGGGTTCAAGGTATGTCACTAGGTGTGTGTGTACATGTGTGTGTGCATGGTTGTGTGCTCAGCTTTGAGTGCATATAGCTACTGGTAGCTCAGACAGAGACCAGAGGAGAGAGATGACAAAAGAAAGACATAAACAGACGAGTACAGGTTGGTGCCTTAAACTCTCAAACATGATGTCAAGTTGCCTCCTTCTCACCACACACACACACACATGCATAACACACATACTCCCCCACAACCTTAAGCCCTTTACACCAAACCTCCCTTCCTCCAGCCACCTCCAGCTACCTCATCCAATCCCTCAGTCCCCACCCTCCACCCTAACCACTCACCTCCATCTTACCTTTTGCCCCTGGCCCCAACCCGTGTGTGTGTGTGTGAGATGAGTAGCTGATTGACTTATGCCTTCATTTCAGAGCTGTCACTCCGGGCCGAACACCATGACCTCTCAACCCCCATTTTGGAGGCGCACATTGTTTTCTTCCCTCCACCATATGAATATAAAGAACACATGTGGCTCAAAGGTGTGTGTGTGTGTGTGTGTGTGTGTGTGTGTGTGTGTGTGTGTGTTCATGTAAAGGTAAATCAAACTGACATAGCTGCTTTGAATGGCAGGAGCTGAATTACTTTTGCACTTCAATTTTGCACACCTGCCATTTATGGCAAACACTGAGCTCAGCATAAACCATAAAAGCAAAATATGCTGCTTCAAGATACAAATCAGAG